AATTATCTGCCCTCTGCCTCGAACCAACCCCGATCCCCGTGTGCCCAGCCATCTTTTCTACTAATGTAAGTGTTAAAAAACCTAATATTATTGATATTTCTTAATTATTAATTGTGTGTGCATACCATCATAAAAGTAAGAAGTTATTTTTACTAGAACGAGGGTATTGTGTCTGAAAAAGTGGAGTTTGGGGGTCGGCCTGGTCTCTATTTCAATTAATCCCATATGTTCTGTTGTTCACTTTACGCGGGCCGCCGTGGGTTCAATTGACCGCCAGAAGTGAGGGTTCACTGTACTGGAAGTTATTAAAGTAACAAATGAAAAACTAGTTTCTTAATTTTCCTATTTAGTTCAAGAGGAAATTGTTTTGGAATTTTATATGAGGGAATGAGGGGGGGCGTGGAGATGAGGACCAACTGCTGTAGGGGCACGACCCTAAAAATGTTAAGAACCACTGTCCTAGAATAACCAAATACGAAATCTCACTGCAGCCATTAAACAAATAATCGTACTTTTCCACCTCTGTTTTCTCAATATTGTCCTGTATTTCCGACCGGATGAACCCTGTTGAACCAGCCGCCGGCGGCTGACATTATCTTTTATAGGGGAATAGTCCACCCGGGCACAGGTCATCGACTCACAACAAGGGGTGGTGGGGGGATTAAAATAGAAGAGATTTTTTTTTACTAATCTACACCACAAAGATGCTGGAAAACCATCTTTTTGAAGTAAGACAGATTGTAAGAATATGGAAACACAGAAGAAGGCAGAGCATTCCACAGTTTGGCTGTGTGAGGAAGATTCTCCACCATGAACATCCTCTCTCCTTCTTGAAGTGGAAGGCTGAGGGCTGAAGATCTTGTTCCTCTGCCTTTTACTGAAAAAAGTGTCATTTGTGGTCTGTGGGGCATCTCTCCTGCTCACCATTAATTTATGTTTGAAGAAGACTATTGTGTCTCAACATGACACAAAGTTAGTTCATATTTTCCCACATCTGGGCGCCTTGAAGCCAGTTTTTGAACATCTCCCAGAAAAGAACAACATCTTTTAAATCTGAAGTAGACATATGGTCATCAATTTCCTTCCTCCTCACCACTGTCAGCCTCTAACAACATTCCATCCAGTTGCTCGTCATCAGAGAAGTTCACTGCGAGACATCACAAGCTCTTCCACATCATCCCTTCCACTTCAAAGGCCCACGACTGACCAATGGACATAATCTCCTGGTCCAACTTTGTTTCTTCCTCAAATCCTCAAAATCATGGACTACTGATGGCCACAGTGCTTTCTATTCAGAATTGAGGATCTAATGGAGAATTCCACAGAGGACACACTGACGCTGCAGCCTCCAGGATGCTGAATTGCGTCTTCAGAACTGTCTCAGTGTTAGTTCAGGATCAGTGGAAGTTCCTCTGATGACACCTCCTGGAACATTTTCATGTAATAACTTCTTGAAGGGTTGATCACATTCCTGGTCCATTGGCTGTGCTGATTGATGTAGTGTTGGGAGGCAAAATAACACTTTGACAGTCAAATTCGAGACTCCAAAGGCAAGTTGAGGTCAAGACCAGGGCATTATCCATGAGGAGAAGACCTTTAAAGGGAGTTTATTGGTGTTAGGTAGCTCTTGACAGAAGGGGCAAAACACCTCAACAGCCATTCATTAAAGAGCTGTCTTGTCACCCATGCCTTATGGTTGGATCTCCAATAAACCTCCAAGCCGCCCTCACCACTTCGTTGCTTGGAACACCCTGGGGTTTTCAGAGTGGTAGATACATAGGCTTCTAGCCGGTAATCCCCGAAGCATTGGCACCAAGCAACAGAGGAGACGGTCTTCATGGGTTTATGCCCAGGTAAAGAGGCTTCATCTCTGGTGAGATGAATGTTCTTTGGGCATTTTTTTTCCAGAACAGCCCAGTTTCATCCATACATTGAACACTTGCTGTGAAGATAATTTTCATCCACCAGTCTCTTAAAGTCCACTAAAAATTTTGGTTGCTCCTTCCATATCAAAGCAATTCGGCAGCCCCACCATGCCTGCTAACAACACTAAAAATGTCACTTTTTCTTAAATTTTTTCGAACCAGTCTTTGCTGCCCCTAAACTCTTCAAACTTGTGCCTGAAGAACCAGGTTGATCTGCTTTAAACAAAGCGAATTTCTCCCTGGCTCTTTTCACAAATAAATTCAGCAGAAACTGAATCAATTTTTCATTTGTTTTTTCCCTAATCCAGATGCTGAGAAGTAACCTCTGTTTCTGATATTAGGATCTACCTTAAACACTCTTTGTAGATTTGTCTCTCACTTTCACTTTTAGTTTGTCTTTTCTGTGAAAGAATTGTTGACACAGTTGATGCTCTATATGCCATATTATTTGCTGGCTAATATTTGTTCTAACGCCTTCTTCATGTTTCTAATTTGTTTTACCTGGATTGGAAATCGCTTCGATTTCTGGGGACCTATGCTGATTCAAAACAATTTCAGCACTAAAAATTTTAAGTTTAATTGCTGTAAATAATGAATATTTCCTTTAAGTCAACACTGCACTGGGCGCTATATATCATCAAGAAATAAATTTCAAATTACTAATAATTTTGTGTAAAAAGGAAAAATTGTTTATGTTGAAGAGAGTCTGAAGCAAGATGTTACCTCCACTGAAAAGAGATACAGAGACTGATGCCCTTGCTGGGAGAGTCAAGGGCAGTTTTACGACTAAAAACTAGTTTCTGTACAGTACTTCAATTATGTTAAATAATTGTTAAAATGACTAAAAATTTTAATATAAAGACTTATAAATTATTAAATAGTACAAACTTTTTTATTTACTAAAATAGTGGGGCGAATTTCAAGCCCCCAGAACCGATTAATAATGTATTGGCGGACTAAACGATATCTGTGAGCAAGCGAAACATGTTGAGGGGTGCTCAGAGAATTAAGACCGAGGGAATGCTCGTTAACCGGGCGTGAAGAATCTTATGGAAGGTAATTCATTAACCAAAATTTCGTTAACCGAGGGATCACTATACTGTACATAGCATAGTGTGAAATACAACTGCACATACAGGCTTCCCAGGTTACAGAAGGGTTCCACTCCTGATAATCTTTCCGTATTGTGAAATTCTGTATTATAAACCATTTTTTCCATTGACTCCCATTATATAAGTTGATATGCGTTCCTCCGAAATTTTTGTGACCCAATAACATAACACAAGAATAGGCAGTTAGACGGTTTTAACCACATACAATGATTCATTCACGATGTAACATGATAATAAATGAACAGAACTAAAGAATTTAACTTACCATAAATGATGTTGAGAGCTGAGTTAGGTGAGGTGGTACAATTGGAGTTACTGGGAGGGAGATGGTGGGTCACTCCTGCCTCTCCTTGTGGATCATCATCACCATTTGCTGCTGGCTGTGGTCTTGGGGCAAAGAACTTGTCCAATGTGGTCTGTCACTGACGGCACAGTGTACAGCTCCTTGTAGCTGTTCACGAGGTTCTCCATGCCTCTTGTAAACTTGAGGCCACATTCACAATCTGGATCCATAGTCTCAAAGTTGTGCACCAGTTCTTCCATTAGAGTAATCCCTTCAGCCAAAACTTGTTGTCAATTCACGGACTGTAGTTAGAACTTCTATATGCTGTACTCCTCTTCCTCACTTCGTTCCATCAACATCAGAACCTCATTTGACTGATCTACTCTGTGTGACTCCAACAACTCAACCACACCATCCTGATCCACGTCCCCTGGCCAGATGTTCTTCCACACACCATTTATTGTTGTAGTTTTCACCTCATCCTAGGAGTCAGCAATGTTTTCCACAGCATTCATGATGTTAAACTTCTTCCCAAATTCTCCTAATGATTGCTGATCCTCTCCATCAATGGCTGCTATAAATTGTTTGAATGTTATAAGTAAATGGTACTGTATGTCTTCAAGCTGGCAATCACACCTTGAGCCATAGGCTGTAGGAAGAACGTTGTGTTCTTGGGCAGGTATTCAACTCTTAACATTACTAGAGAGATGATTCAGTTAGTTGGGTAACCTAGGATTGGCTTAACCCTTGAAAGTCCTTGGATTCTCAGAGTGGTACACAAGGATGAGCTAACTCTTGATACTTCCAGCAGCATTACCTGCCAACAGAAGCATTAGATGTTCCTTTAAAGCCTTAAACTGGAGCTGTCTTTACTTTGGTTGAAATAACTGTAATTTATTTAAAATATTTGATTAATGGATGCTTACCTCCTCCTCTATGATAATAATATAATAATGATAATGATGATAGTACAGTACAGTACAGTGCAGTGCAATAAAGTGCAGTATAGTACAGTACAGTGCAATATAGTATGATACAGTGCAGTATAGTACAATACAGTACAGTACAGTAGAGTACAATACACTAGTCCAGTACAATGCAATACGGTACAATACAGTACAGTCCAGTAACAAAACAGTACAGTGCAGTACAGTACAATACACTACAGTGCAGTATAGTACAGTTCATTACAATGCAGTACAGTGCATTACAGTGCAGTACAGAACAGTACTTTACAGTGCAGTACAGTACATTACAGTATAGTGCATTGCAGTGCAGTATATTACAGTACAGTGCATTACAGTACAGTGTAGTACATTACAATGCAGTACATTACAGTACAGTGCATTACAGGGCAGTAAATTACAGTACAGTGCAGTACAGTGCAATACAGTACAGTGTAGTACAGTGCATTACAGTACAGGGCAGTACATTACAGTACAGTGCAGTACAGGGCTGTACATTACAGTACCATGCAGTACATTACAGTACAGTACATAATAGTTCAGTACAGTACAGTACATAGCAGTACAGTACATACAGTACAGTCACAATACAGTACAGTGCAGTACATAACAGTACAGTACAGTCAATACAGTACAGTACAATGCAGTACAGTACAGTTAAGTGCTATCATTATATTATAGGTAAATGATAATTAATGCTCTTTATGTATTTCAGGTTATCTTTATGAATGGAAATGACTTATCCTGAGCCAGATGGAGGAGACAGTGGAAGATCTCAGTTGGCATGGACGTGTGGTGACGATGGTGTACACCTCACCAACAGTGTTGGGAAGGGAAGCTTTATGGACCAGTTGAAGGCTCTCCTTATCCGCAACCTGACTCTCAAGATGAGGGATAAACGCAAGACTCTCACGGTAACATTTATTGTGTTTCACTTCATATATTGTCCTCTCCCTCTACCAGTACTGCTGGCTTGTTGTTCCTCCCCCTGCCAGATCATCTACGCTGAAGACAATTCCACAAGAAGGTGGCAAGGAGCAGACACAAGTAGAGCCACAGTCCCTCCCTCCTATTTCATCTGCTGCCAAATACCACAGCCACCGTGTTTACTTCCATATCACGGACTGGAAAGACAGAGTCACCACCTAAACCTTGAGGAATAGGGTTGGTCTGTTGTATCTGCCCAAATAGGTAGATAAGCCACCAGAGTTTTTTAATGTGATCTGCTGCAATTGTAAGAATGACTGTAGCACTAGGCGTTGCACTTTCCGCAAGTACAGCTTATCTTGCACTTCTGTTTGTGAAGAATGTTGGAGATCTGGTTGCACCTATTCACTGTGGAGAGATTTTGACGACGATTAAGCTTGGTCAACCGTGTCATGTCATTGTTGTGATGTGTTAGTCATAATAATGAGTGTAGACGATAAGACCACATGTCTCTATAACTCTTACCCTTAGGCTTTAGGTGTTAGTCACTGTATTGTAATGATCCAGGAATTTTGTTTGTCTTTAAATGACTTACTGGTCGTACTTCAATTAAAATGTCATAAATAGGTATGAATTTTCACATCTTACAGGTTGTTGTCGCTGTAAAAGGATAGTAAACTCTGTATGCATTTACATCTTTCTTGAACAACAGTGAAGGCCAAGCACCCTGCAGTAACGGCATTTTCAATTTCCTGTTGATCTTTAACTTTTAACCCTTGATGTTTGAACTGGTCCTTGTGGTCATCAATATTTATGTAGCTGTACATTTTTTTCTATGCTGATCATAAGAATATATGATAAAAAATCCATAATGAATACTGTATACAACACCACACTGTATGTAATTCTATAAATGTGTTTTTCATGGGTACTATAAATACTGATGTGTTTTGAATAATAGTGTACACGCCTTTATTAGCCTAATGTGTGCTAGAGAGCCGAGGGAACAAAGAACATCCTGTACTGTACTGTACTTGGCTGCTATATGTGAGTTATGTAAATTAGTCATATTTCCCACTTTAGGATTCCTTAGGAGTTTAAGTATATTGTCATGAGGACCTTACAGAAATATGTTGAGGCACAACAAATTCTATTGTAATATTTTTGTGTTCAGATCTTATTTTGCCTGGACTATATATATACTTTACTTTATTAACAGTAGCCTGGACTATATATACTGATCTTTATTAACAGTAGCCTGGACTATATATACTGTACTTTATTAACAGTAGCCTGGACTATATATACTGATCTTTATTAACAGTAGCCTGGACTATATATACTGTAATTTTATTAACAGTAGCCTGGACTATATATACTGATCTTTATTAACAGTAGCTCGACTATATATACTGTAATTTTATTAACAGTAGCCTGGACTATATATATACTGTAATTTTATTAACAGTAGCCTGACTATATATACTGTACTTTATTAACAGTAGCCTGACTCATATATACTGATCTTTGCCATTGTAGCCTGACTATATACTGTAATTTCATTAACAGTAACCTGACTATATATACGATCTTATTAACAGTAGCTCTGGACTATATATACTGTACTTATTAATATGCAGCCTGGACTATATATACCGATCTTTATTAACAGCAGCCTGGACTATATATATACTGTACTTTATTAACAGTAGCCTGGACTATATATACTGATCTTTATTAACAGTAGCCTGGACTATATATATACCGATCTTTTATTAACAGTAGCCTGACTATATATACTGTACTTTATTACAGTAGCCTGACCATATATACTGATCTTTATTAACAGTAGCCTGACTATATATATACCATTTTATTAACAGTAGCCCGACTATATATATCGATCTTTATTAATTTTGGACTATATATACTCGATCTTATTAACAGGTAGCCTGGACTATATACTGTACCTGCCAATAGTAGCCTGACTATATATACCGATCTTTATTAACAAGTAGCCTGACTATATATACTGTACTTATTAACAGTAGCCTGGACTATATATACTGATCTTTATTAACAGTAGCCTGGACTATATATACTGTACTTTATTAACAGTAGCCTGGACTATATATACTGTAATTTTATTAACAGTAGCCTGGACTATATATACTGATCTTTATTAACAGTAGCCTGGACTATATATACTGATCTCATTAACAGTAGCCTGGACTATATATACTGTACTTTATTAACAGTAGCCTGACTATATATAATTGATTCCTATTACCAACAGTAGCCTGACTATATATACTGTACTTTATTAACAGTAGCCTGGACTATATATACTGATCTTTATTAACAGTAGCTGACTATATATACCTGTACTTTATTAACAGTAGCTCGACTATATATACTGTAATTTCTTTATTAACAGTAGCCTGACTATATATACTGATCTTATTAACAGTAGCCTGACTATATATATACTGTACTTATTAACAGTAGCCTGACTATATATACTGATCTTTATTAACAGTAGCCTGACTATATATACTGATCTTTATTAACAGTAGCCTGGAATTATATATACTGCATTTCATTAACAGTAGCCTGGACTATTATATATACTGATCTTTATTAACAGTAGCCTGGACTATATATATACCGATCTTGCCAACAGTAGCCCGGACTATATATACTGTACTCTTATTAACAGCAGCTCGACTATATATACTATCTTATTAACAGTAGCCTGACCATATATACGATCTTATTAACAGTAGCCTGACCATATATATCGTAATTTCATTAACAGTAGCCTGACCATATATACCGATTCTTATTAACAGTAGCCCGACCATATATATCGTACTTTATTACCAGTAGCCTGGACTATATATACTGATCTATTAACAGTAGCCTGACTATATATACTGATCTTTATTAACAGTAGCCTCAATTATATATACCGATTCTTTATTAACAGTAGCCTGACTATATATACTGCGCTTCTATTAACAGTAGCCCGGACTATATATACTGATCTTTATTAACAGTAGCCTCGACCATATATACCGATCTTCATTAACAGTAGCCTGACTATATACTGTAATTTTATTAACAGTAGCCTGACTATATACTGATCTTTGGTCAACAGTAGCTCTAATTATATATACTGATCTTTATTAACAGTAGCCTGACTATATATACTGATCTTATTAACAGTAGCCTGGACTATATATACTGCAATTTTATTAACAGTAGCCTGGACTATATATATACTGTAATTTCTTATTAACAGTAGCCTGGACTATATATACTGATCTTATTAACAGTAGCCTGACTATATATACTGATCTTTATTAACAGTAGCCTGACTATATATATCAAAATTTTATTACGTAGCTCAATTATATATATCGATCTTATTAACAGTAGCCTGACTATATATATACTGTACTTATTAACAGTAGCCTGGACTATATATACTGTACTTCTTATTAACAGTAGCCTGACTATATATACTGATCTTTATTAACAGTAGCCTGGACTATATATATACTGTAATTTTATTAACAGTAGCCTGGACTATATATACTGATCTTTATTAACAGTAGCCCGGACTATATATACTGATTCTATTACCAGTAGCCTGACTATATATACTTTACTTTATTAATGTAGCCTCGGACCTGCATATACCGATCTTTATTAGCGAGTAGCCTCGACTATATATACTGATTCTATTAACAGCCTGACTATATATACTGATCTTATTAACAGTAGCCTGGACTATATGCATATACTGTACTTTATTAACAGTAGCCTGACTATATATACTGATCTTATTAACAGTAGCCTGGACTATATATACTGTAATTAACAGTAGCCCAACTATATATACTGATCTTATTAACAGTAGCCTGGACTATATATACTGTACTTTATTAACAGTAGCCTGGACTATATATACTGATCTTTATTAACAGTAGCCTGGACTATATATACTGATCTTTATTAACAGTAGCCTGGACTATATATAATACCTTTATTAACAGTAGCCTGGACTATATATACTGATCTTTATTAACAGTAGCCTGGACTATATATACTGTACTTTATTAACAGTAGCCTGGACTATATATACTGATCTTTATTAACAGTGTAGCCTGGACTATATATACTGTACTTTATTAACAGTAGCCTGACTATATATACTGATCTTTATTAACAGTAGCCTGACCTTATATATACTGTACTTTTATTACCAGCCCGGACTATATATACTGTACTTTTGCCAATGGTAGCCTGACTATATACTGATCTTTATTAACAGTAGCCTGGACTATATACACTGAATTTTATTAACAGTAGCCTGACTATATATACTGCATTTTATTAATGCAGCCTGGACTATATATACTGATCTTTATTAACAGTAGCCTGGACTATATATACTGATCTTATTAACAGTAGCCTGACTATATATACTGTACTTTATTAACAGTATTTGGACTATATATACTCGATCTTTATTAACAGTAGCCTGACCATATATACTAAAATTTTTATTAACAGTAGCCTGACTATATATACTGATCTTTATTAACAGTAGCCTGACCATATACTGTACTATTAACAGTAGCCTGACCATATATACTGATCTTTATTAACAGTAGCCTGGACTATATATATTGTACTTTATTAACAGTAGCCTGACTATATATAATGATCTTTTATTAACAGTAGCCTGGACTATATATACTGATCTTTTATTAACAGTATTCGACTATATATACTGTAAATTTTATTAATGCAGTCTGACTATATATATATACTGATCTTATTACCAGTAGCCTGGACTATATATACTGATCTTTATTAACAGTAGCCTTCGACTATATATACTGTACTTTTATTAACAGTAGCCTGACTATATATACTGTAATTTTATTAAATAGCAGCCTGGACTATATATAATGATCTTTATTAACAGTAGCCTGACTATATATACTGATCTTTATTAACAGTAGCCTGACTATATATAATACTGTACTTATTAACAGTAGCCTGACTATATATACGATCTTTACACAGTAGCCTGACTATATATACTGATCTTTATTAACAGTAGCCTGACCTATATATATTGTAATTTATTAACAGTAGCCTGGACTATATATACTGATCTTTACGTAACAGTAGCCCGACTATATATAATGTACTTTTATTAACAGTAGCCTGGACTATATATACTGATCTTCTTATTAACAGTAGCCTGACTATATATACGATCTATATTAACAGTAGCCTGACTATATATATACTCGTACTTATTAACAGTAGCCCGGACTATATATACGATCTTTAGCTAACAGTAGCCTGGACTATATATACCGACTTTACGCTAACAGTAGCCGTAATTATATATACTGTACTTTATTAACAGTAGCCTGACCATATATACTGATCTTTATTAACAGTAGCCTGGACCATATATACGTACTTTATTAACAGTAGCCTGACTATATATACCGATCTTTATTTACAGTATTCGACTATATATACCGTAATTTTTATTAACAGTAGCCTTGACTATATATACTGTGTTTTAGTTAACAGTAGCCTGACTATATATTGATCTTTATTTAACAGTAGCCTGGACCATATACTGATCTTTATTAACAGTAGCCTTGACTATATATACTGTAATTCTTTTATTAACAGTAGCCTGACTATATATACTGATCTTTATTAACAGTAGCCCAATTATATATATACTCGATCTTTATTAACAGTAGCCTGACCATATATAATAAAATTTTAATAACAGTAGCCTGACTATACTGATCTTTGTTAACAGTAGCCTGGACTATATATACCGTACTTTATTAACAGCAGTCGGACTATAGATACCGGATCTTTATTAACAGTAGCCTGACCATATATACTGATCTATTAACAGTAGCCTGGACTATATATACTGATCTATTAACAGTAGCCCGACTATATTTACTGATCTTTATTAACAGTAGCCTGGACTATATATACTGATCTTTATTAACAGTAGCCTGACTATATATACCGATCTTTTATTAACAGTAGCCTGACTATATATACTGATCTTTATAACAGCAGCCTGGACTATATATACTGTACTTTATTAACAGTAGCCCGGACTATATATACTGGATCTTTATTAACAGTAGCCTGGACTATATATGCTGATCTTATTAATTAAGTAGCCTGGACTATTATATATACTGCACTTTATTAACAGTTAGCCTGACTATATATACCGATCTTTATTAACAGTAGCCTGACTATGCTATACATTGATCTTTATTAACAGTAGCCTGGACTATATATACTGTACTTCTATTAACAGTAGCCTCAATTATATATACTGATCTTTATTAACAGTAGCCTGGACTATATATACTGTAATTTTATTAACAGTAGCCTGGACTATATATACGATCTTTACAACAGTAGCCTGGACTATATATACTGCAATTTTATTGGTCAGTAGCCTGGACTATATACTGTACTTTATTAACAGTAGCCTGACTATATATACTGTACTTTATTAACAGTAGCTCGACTATATATACTGATCTTTATTAACAGTAGCCTGGACTATATATAATGATCTTTATTAACAGTAGTCTGACTATATATACTGTACTTTTATTAACAGTAGCCTGACTATATATACTGTAATTTTTATTAACAGTAGCTCTGACTATATATACTGGTAATTTTATTAACAGTAGCCTGACCATATATACTGATCTTTTATTAACAGTAGCCTGACCATATATACTGATCTTTATTAACAGTAGCCTTGGACTATATATACTATCTTTATTAACAGTAGCCTGACTATATATACTGATCTTTATTAACAGTAGCCTGGACTATATATACCAAAAATTTGCCACAGTAGCCCGAACTATATATACTGTACTTTATTAACAGTAGCCTGACTATATACTGTACTTTATTAACAGTAGCCTTGACTATATACTGATTCCTTATTAACAGTAGCCTGACCTATATACTGTACTTTATTAACAGTAGCCTGACTATATATACTGTAATTTTATTAACAGTAGCCTGGACTATATATACCGATCTTTATTATAGCCTGACTATATATACTGCACTTTATTAACAGTAGCCTGACTCATATATATACTGTACTTCTTATTAACAGTAGCCTGGACTATATATACTGTACTTTTATTAACAGTAGCCTGACTATATATAATGATCTTTATTAACAGTAGCCTGGACTATATATAATTATCTTTACACAGTAGCCTGGACTATATATACTGCACTTTATTAACAGTAGCCTGGACTATATATACTCGTACTTATTAACAGTAGCCTGACTATATATACTGTACTTATTAACAGTAGCCTGACTATATATACTGTACTTTATTAACAGTAGCCTGGACTATATATACTGTACTTTATTAACAGTAGCCTGGTTAATGAGATGAAATCGACTTCCAGAATATTTTATGAATTGTATTAATAAAAAATAAAAAAAATCTTTTAAAATAGCAGTGTGAGATATATGGCCGTGTGTCTTATAGGCCAGGAAAGTGGTCGGTCAGCACTCTTTACTGTAGTGAAGAGATGAGTCACCATATTTTAACTGTTCTTCACTATAGAAATTATTTAATATTGAAAACTGTACATTCATTAAACAAGGATTTACAGTACAGGTAGTTCTGCTATAACGCGATAATTGTGTTCTTGTAAAATATCGTGTTATAGAAATTCGCGTAATAGAAATAACAGGGCTTATGGAGAAAAATAGGTTAGGTGCAGATTACTCGAAATCGAAAAATTTAGTAGTTAGCCTAACACAAAGGATAGCACAGTCTAAATAAATGTTACATTCATATCTAATAATGAAATCATACAGTAAATGTAACACTTTACTTGATGGGGGAGAAGGGTGATTTTGAGGTTGATAAAATCGAGTCAAGTGTTATATCCTTTTTTTTACGATCATCACCGGAATTCTATCACCAGAACTTTGTTGATATTCTTCTTTACTATATTCACAGTTAATACCACAAAATTGGAGAAATAGTAAGCAAAAAATCGCTTATAGCAAACAAGCCGCCAAGAGCAAATATCGTTCCTAATTCATAAATCGCGCTAGAGCAAATTCGCGTTATCAAATCACGCGCAGCAGAACTCACTGTACATGCTGTTTATTGGGGAATTTGATTATTTATGTTTTATGATGTCACCAGTTGAACTGTAGTCAACATTTGTCCAAAAGTGTGACAAAGTTAGAGTGTGGTTAACAACCATGCCAAGCCTCTGGCCATTTGACCACCACCCTCAACGCTTGTACACACTCAAGGCAAAAGTTGTGTCGTGAATGTTAGTGAAAACATATGCGCTCTGCCTTGTGGTAGGAGGCTCTCATAATGTTTCACGAGTTATATTTAATCTTTGGTCAAAACCGCGACACATCTTTTGTCTTTGATCGTGTACACCAAGAAAGGCTCATAATTAACTGAATGTCTTTAAGTTAAACTTTGCAAAAAGATTCTATGCAAATTGAAGGTTTATTATATTAAAAAAAATTGCTGTTGATTGCACTTGATTAATTTGCATTGAGTCCCTGGGAGTGTCCATTTTTTATAAACAAATCTGAACTGGCACTACATCAGTACCGAGTGTTGTGTGTCAGTTGTTGTAGGGTCCAGAAGCTGTCCCCTACATGTACAGTAATAAATATGTAGAGGCTGACTTTTGTGAGACTGGTCACATATCAACCTGATGTACACACAACCAGCCGTGTACAGTAAACCCTTAAACTACGCAGCCCTCGCCCCTCCTTGGTGCACTGGGGGTTGCATGGGAACAAGGTAGATTGTGTACGTGCGTGTGACAACTTCTTCCATTACCGGCTGAGAGTTGTCTCTACTGTTGTACGGGACAGTTCAACACACCCGTGCTCTTCATATTTCTTATTTTATAGTTTTATATTATATTTTCTTTATTCTAAGTCACATTAAAGTATTGAAATGATTTATCCACAACTTTTATAGTTTCATTATATTTAACAATGGCAACATGCATTACCATCTCTCCAGGCCACAGCTGACTGGCATATCATCCAGCTGACTCCGGGCACGGCTTCCTTAACACTTACTCCACTCTATATAAACGATGTGGCTTAGAAATAAATAAAATATAAAACTATAAAATAAGACCAATGAGGAACATAGGTGTGTATGTGTGTGTGTAAGTGGTTCTAGCCATGGTCTTGGCTAGAAACTATGTGAACCAACTCACCACGCCCGCCGCCACATATGTTGTTAACTTGTAATGAAACTATAAAGTTGTGAACAAATCTTAGGGATTGTGGCTTAGAAATAAATAAAATATGAAACTATAAAATATGACAAATAAAGAGTATATGTGGGAAGTAAATGTGTTATGGAGTGAGTTATTCTTTGTTTTTTGGTAATTTTAGCTCCTATAAGTTCCTGGAGGTGAACATCACAGTTTGGGTCTTCATTAACCTAAGCCTCACATTATTTAAGGGTTTACTACCAGGCTGATCTCTGCTTCAGTGGTGTAGGCTATGAGTTCAAGTTCAGGTTTAGGTGGACAAAAATGTTTAGAATCAGGAGTATTTGTTCATCAGAGATTCAGGAAAGTTTGACTGCAGTTCATTCAGCTTAGGGTTGACCTTCTGTTCACGTGTCTCTCTGTCTGTGACCGGCTGCTCAAACCGGTAGTGAAGTCTGAGACAAGATCATAATAATTTAATTCAAAACTTCTATGACTGTAAAAATAATATGACATCATTTATCTTTTCAGGAGTTCTTAATGCCTCTCTACTGGATCATGATACTGGCCATCATTCGTATGTCAATTAAGGACGAGCATTACGACCCTATTGGTGTACCACACGTGAGGCACCACTCCTCCGCAGCCTCCCAGCACTCAATGCATCACACCTACATGTTGTGCCAGCTAATAACACTGAGGTATGTTAGCCTTGATGCTTCTGTGTACAGTACACTATAGAACAGTGCAGTACACTACACTACAGTACAGTACACTATAGAACAGTGCAGTACACTACACTACAGTACAGTACACTACAGTGCAGTACACTACACTACAGTACAGTACACTACAGTTGCAGTACACTACAGAACAGTGCAGTACACTACACTACAGTACACTACAGTACACTACAGTACAGTACAGTACACTATAGAACAGTACAGTACACTACACTTCACTACAGTACATGACACTACAGTACAGTACACTACACTACAGTACACTATAGAACAGTGCAGTACACTACACTACACTACAGTACAGTATACTACAGTACATTACACTACAGTACATTACACTACAGTACACACTACAGTACAGTACACTATAGAACAGTGCAGTACACTACACTACAGTACAGTACAGTACAGTACACTATAGAACAGTGCAGTACACTACACTACAGTACACTATAGAACAGTGACAGTACAGTACACTATAGAACAGTGCAGTACAGTACAGTACAGTACAGTTACTACAGTACACTACTCTACAGTACAGTACAGTACAGTACACTGTACAGTACAGTACAGTACAGTGCACTGCACAGTACACTACAGTACAGTACACTATAGAACAGTTCAGTACACTACACCAGTACAGTACAGTACAGTACACACCACCACAATTACACTACAGTACAGTACACTATAGAACAGTTCAGTACTACACTACAGTACAGTACAGTACAGTATACTACACTACAGTACACTGGTACAGTACACTAGAAACAGTACAGTACACTACACTACAGTACAGTACAGTACAGTACTACACTACAGTACACTACAGTACACTACACTACAGTACAGTACAGTACACTATAGAACAGTACAGTACAATTACAGTACACTACAGTACACTACTCTACAGTACACTATAGAACAGTGCAGTACACTACACTACAGTACACTACAGTACAGTACAGTACAGTACAGTACACTACAATACAGTACAGTACACTTCAGTACTGCAGTACAGTACACTATAGAACAGTGCAGTACACTACACTACAGTACAGTACACTACAGTACAGTACACTACTGCACTACACTATAGTACACTACACTATAGTACACTACACTATAGTACACTACACTATAGTACACTACACTATAGTACACTACACTACAGTACACTACACTACACTACAGTACACTACACTACAGTACACTACACTACAGTACACTACACTACAGTACAGTACAGAACAGTACAGTACAGAACAGTACAGTACAGTACAGTACACTACAGTACAGTACAGAACAGAACAGTACAGAACAGAACAGTACACTACAGTACAGTACACTACAGTACAGTACACTACAGAACAGTACAGTACACTACAGTACATTGCAGTACAATACAGTGCAGAACAGTACAGTACATTACAGCACAGTACATTACAGCACAGTACATTACAGTACAGTACAGTACACTACTGTGCAGTACAGTACACTACAGTACAGTACAGAACAGTACAGTACAGAACAGTACAGTACAGTACACTGCAGTACAGTACAGAGCAGAACAGTACACTACAGTACACTACAGTACAGTACACTACAGTACAGTACACTACAGAACAGTACAGTACACTACAGTACATTGCAGTACAATACAGTGCAGAACAGTACAGTACATTACAGCACAGTACATTACAGTACAGTACAGTACACTACTGTGCAGTACAGTATACTACAGTACACTACAGTACAGTACATTACAGTACAGTATGCTACAATACAGTACACTACACTACAGTACTCTACAGTACACTATAGAACAGTACAGTACACTACAGTACAGTACAATACACTATAGTACAGTACATTACATTGCAGCACAGAACAGTACAGCACAGCAGTACAGTACAGTATAGCACAGCGCAGTACAGTACAGCACAGCACAGTACAGTACAGTACACTACAGAACAGTGCATTAAAGAACAGTACAGTGCAGTACAGCACACTACAGTACAGTACATTACATTGCAGCACAGAACAGTACAGCACAGCAGTACAGTACAGTATAGCACAGCGCAGTATAGCACAGCACAGCACAGTACAGTACAGTACACTACAGAACAGTGCATTAAAGAACAGTACAGTGCAGTACAGTACACTACAGTACAGTACATTACAGTGCAGCACAGTACAGTACAGCACAGTACATCACAGCACAGTACTGTACAGTACAGTACTGTGCTGTACTGTATATAGTACAATAGGACAATATAGTATAGTACAATACAGTATAGTACAGCATACTACAGTACAGCACAGTGCAGTACAGAACAGTACAGTACAGTTCAGTATAATACCCAAGACCAATCCCAGTGCCTCCAGGAATACAAGGTGACCACTACACATGACCCATGCGGCGGTCGACAAAGTTATGAAGAAAGCTCAGGATTTTGAGACGTAGGTTAGGATAAATGATGAGCAGGACAGGAGGATGTGTACCAGATCCAGGATCCAGGCAAAGGCAGAGTGTAGAGGGGCTGAAAAAGAGTTCCAGAGGCAGATTGCTAGTGAGGTCAAGTCAAACCCAGTGGCTTTTTACCGCTATGCAAAGTCGAAATTAAAAATGCAAGTAGGCATATTGGACCTGAGGCTTGAAGTTGGCAGTTATGCAGATTCTGACCAGGATACGGCAGAGGCATTGAACAGCTTCTTTTCATCAGTGTTCACCATAGAGGATGTGAAAAATCTTCCTGCTTTTGAGAAAAGACGTTATGACATATTGTGTTTTCGTTTGAAGTTATAAGGTTTTAACTGTCAAAGCGAAAGATTCACAAGCGTCCCGGGCCAGATATGATGCACCCCAGAGTCTCAAGAGAACTGTGTAACAAATTTGTAGAGCCCCTGAAGATCCTGTTTTGTAAATGCCTGGATGAACAAAAGGTCCCCAGTGATTGGAAAATGGCTTATGTGAGTCCTATCTTCAAGAAGGCCGATCGTCACTCCACGAACAACTGTAGACCGGTGAGCCTGACCAGCATAATATGTAAAGCACTTGAGAGTTTTATTAGAGATACCACGATGGAACTTCTACTATGAAACAACTATACTTTACTATACTAAGTGGTGATAAATACACTACTAAAGTATTTATTAAGTGGTGATAAATACACTACTACAGGTTGTACCTCTATAGTCCGGCATTCTGTGGTCCGGAAACTCCCGTGGTCCGGAACGATTTTAGTTTGTCCAATAGATAGATAGGCAACTTTTTTTTTTCTTTTTCTTTTTTTACTTATCTGAATTATTATTATTATTACAGGAGTATTAAATTTTTGCCCCTCAGGCTCCAATGTGGGTCAGTGACCTATGCCCGGGTGGGCTAATCCTCGTAAAAAAAACAACAACAAAGCCGCGGGAAATTAAGGTTTGTTTACATCCGGCAGTTCGGCTGCTCTCTCTCTCTCTCTCTCTCTCTCTCTCTGCTTGTCTATACAGAGTACAACATTTAACCCTTCAATATATATGAGCAGTAAATAAGTGTTGCTTTCATATTCTTATGTAGAGTAATGACGATATATTTTCACATGTGCGCACTTACATACGAGCAGTCTCACTTTTTTTTTACCATTAATGGTTAGCTACTTATATTGTTCCATTTATTAACATTAAATAACATTACAGGTACTTCAAGCAACCATATTCATTTTTTACATTAATTTTACTACAGCTAAAATCAGGGTCTTATTTTCTTCAGTTTTATATGTAGAACCAATCAGTCACTGGTTTCGTAAGCTTTAACATAAACAATGCCGGCAGCCGTCTCGTCTCCTCTAATATTCCACGTATTATTAATAAATTGTATTGTTAATTTTGCACACACGTACATTAATTCAATAAAAACAAATTCAGAAACATTAATTAAAATATATATGAACAGTAAATAAGTGTTGCTTTCATATTCTTATGTAAAGTAATGACGATATGTTTTCACGTGTGCGCATGCGCACTTACATATGCGATCTCTCTTTTTCTTTACCATTATCGTTAGCTAATTCTATTGTTCCATTTATTAACATTAAATAACATTACTTAAAACAACCATATTAATTTTACTACAGCTACAGTCAAGGTCTTATTTTCTTCAGTTTTATATGTAGAACCAGTCAGTCACTGGTTTTGTAATCAACGAATACAATGCTGTGTCATTTCCTCGTGTGTTTTAATTTTCTACGTATTATTAATGAATTGTATTGCTCATTTTGCACACATAAACATTAATTCAATAAAAAAGACATTCAGTAATAAACAATAATGAATCTTTTGTACAAAAGAGAAATGACGCTGTTTACACGATTATGCACGTCGTCTGCACGTTGGCGGGCCGTTCAAACCCATCGAAATTCAAGTTTCCGCCGTCAAAATTTTTATTTATTTATTTTTTTGTGTGTTCCAATAAAATACGTTAAGAATTAAAAACTCGCGAAATTTGAGAAGCCACTATACGACATTTAACCCTTCAATATGTCTTCAAAGAGACCATGACGCAGAGAAAGTGGTGCTAGTGCTTCCAAGCATAAGCACAAGTCACTATCTATCCAGGAAAAGGGTGAATTTCCATGGTCCGGCACCGGTCAGGTCCCGAGGTTGCCGGACTAGAGAGGTACAACCTGTACAGTATTTATTAAGTGGTGATAAATACACTACTATAGTATTTATTAAGTGGTGATAAATACATTACTATAGTATTTATTAAGTGGTGATAAATACATTACTATAGTATTTATTAAGTGGTGATAAATACACAACTATAGTATTTATTAAGTGGTGATAAATACACTAGTATAGTATTTATTAAGTGGTGATAAATACACTAGTATAGTATTTATTAAGTGGTGATAAATATATACCCAAGACCAAACCCAGTGCCTCTAGGAATACGAGGGGATCCCTACACATGAACCATGTGGCGGTCGACAAAGTTATGAAGGAAACCCAGAAATCCAAGACGTGGGTTGGGTCAAATGATGAGCAAGACAGGAGGATGTATGCAAGAGCCAGAAACCAAGCAAAGATAGTCTAGAAGGGCTGAAATGGAGTTCCAGAGGCTGGTTGCAAGCGAGGTCAAGTCAAACCCAAAGGCGTTTTACCGCTATGCAAAGTCGAAATTAAAAACGCGAGTAGCTGTATCAGACCTGAGGCCTGAAGATGGTAATTACGCAGATTCTGACCAGGATAAAGCTGAGGACATTGAACAGCTTCTTTTCCTCGTGTTCACAAGAGAGGATGCAACTAACATTCCTGCGTTTGAGGACAGACGGTTCGACACAGCACTGACCCACATTGTGTTCACAGAAGAGGGTATAAGAAATAAACTGTCAAAGCTAAAGGTCCATAAGAGTCCTGATCCTGACATGGTGCATCCTAGAGTGCTAAGAGAGTTGAGCAACGAGCTTGCCGAGCCCCTGAAGATCCTGTTCTGTAAATGCCTGGATGAACAAAAGGTCCCCAGTGATTGGAAGATGGCTTATGTGAGTCCTATCTTCAAGAAGGGCGATCGTTACTCCACGAACAACTGTAGACGGTGAGCCTGACCAGCATAATATGTAAAGTACTTGAGAGTTTTATTAGAGATGCCGTGATGGAACTTCTACTATGAAACAACCTTGTAAAGGATTGCCAACACGGTTTTATGCTGGGGGCTTCTGCTTAACACAATTGCTCAAGGTATTGGATATTTGGACCCATATTCTGGAATGGGGTGGTAATATCGACAATATTTACCTTTATTTTGCCAAGGCTTTTCACAGTGTACCCCACAAAAGGCTGAAAATCAAACTGGGAGGGTACGGGATTGTAGTTGGAGCGTCTTTCTCCGAGGGTGAGGCAACCCTCCAGTCCTTCACCTTGGTCAACCCGCCAGGTTGACTCTCCCGTATTCTTTAAGTCTTAACATTAATTGCTAACACACATATTAAGGTCCATAGACTATATTTTTACACAAGTGTTTACATAACATAAATTCTTACACTATATAAGTTGGTTTGAACATTCCTAAATTAGATGAAAGTAGTACATCAGGTCAAGGTATTTGTTAAAGGTTGTTAGATCTTCACACGAATTATGATTAATTCTGCATTTATCCCTCAACTATGAATGATTGTACCAAAGGCAAAATAAAATAAGATAAGTATAAAAACAAAAATGTATTAACAATATTAAAGTAAGAATGGTGGCAGCATATTAAGGAGACCATACAGAATATGAATCACGGCTGGTAGAGGTGGGGCCTGGTTAGGTTACACTGGAGGCTGCCCTCATCATCGAGGGTGTGAGCACTATGTTGAAAAGTTGCTGTAGTGGGCCAGTGGCACACACAAATACTAGCGAGGTAACACGCTACACCAGCTAGCTAGGGCAGGCCACACAGGTCACCACACTGCAGCAACTCCACCACTCCACACATATAAAGCTGAAGGATTGAACATGTCCTTAGTTTCATACTAACTAAACTATTAACTTGTAACATCAGTTAAGTATACCTCTTCTTTACTAAACACACTCCAGAACAGTATATACATATATATTATTATTACACTTACTCACAGAGTGGACAGGTAACAGCGGCGAGGCAGGTCTCAGCTAAGTGACTCGGCCTGTCTTGCCGGCCTCTCACAACAGCTCGTGTAAAATGAATCCCTAGTTTCGAACTCGAGTAAGAAGTGAAACAAGACAAGGTAATTCATTCACACATGACAGTACAGCACATTACAGCACAATACAATACAGCACAGTGCAGTACAGTGCAGCACAGTGCAGCCTCAACACAAATTCACTTCCCACATGTACCGATGTTCTTAATTTGTCGTATTTTATAGTTTTATGTTTTATTTTCTTCATTTATAAGACACATTAGAGTATTAGAATATTTCATTACAAGTAAGAATAAACGTCACAGCTGGGCGGGTGAGTCAGCGTGGTAGTTATAGCCTTGGTTATACCTGCCTCCACACACGTTGGGCAGGTGAGTCAGCGTGGTAGTTATAGCCTTGGTTATACCTGCCTCCACACACGTTGGGCAGGTGAGTCAGCGTGGTAGTTATAGCCTTGGTTATACCTGCCTCCACACACGTTGGGCAGGTGAGTCAGCGTGGTAGTTATAGCCTTGGTTATACCTGCCTCCACACACGTTGGGCAGGTGAGTCAGCGTGGTAGTTATAGCCTTGGTTATACCTGCCTCCACACACGTTCACACACATGATCTTCTTTTGACTTATTTTATTGTTTTATATTGTATTTTATTTATTTTTAATCTCATCATTTATATAGAGTGGAGTAAGTGTTAAAGAAGTGTGTCTTTGTGAGGTCAGCCTGTAGCACTGTAGGATTTATTGGGGGACCCTAAGAGTGTGGATAACCTAACCGGAAGATATCTTTATCCGTCACCTCTCATAGGTGCCGGATAACTGGGGTTCTACCGTATAAAGATAACTAATTTATGTTATTTTATCTATGTTCTACAGGTGGAGACACTTGTAGAGAAGATTCAAGAACTTGGAACTGGTATGGGAGTAGTAATATCTGTTGTGTATCATAACAGCGAGGAGGACTTGTTGAAGGCGTTCAGGCAAGTATCATCAGGTGGATGTTGGCAGTGTTCCTCTACTCTTTTTCTCATAACTTTTGTGTTTCTTGAGAGGTGATGTTCTTCCTGCTATAATACCTCTCTCAACCAAGTGTCGCCCAACGAAATTTACTTTACCGAACAGGAAAAAATATTCATATAATGAATACAGTAAGATCTCATATTTCGCGCGATTTCATTTCCCGAGCACTACCTAACGTAACCAAGTCTTAAATTTGGCGTAAAATATCATGAATTTCGTGAGATCCAGCAAGCTGAATGCTGGCCACCGTCTTGAATGACATCACAGCCCTCATACCAGTTACAGTCATTTCTGCTACAACACGTGTTTTGTCAATGCGAATTGGTTGCAACACGATTGATGAATAGGGGAATGCTGTTTGTAAAACGCGAACTTTTGCTTACGAATGGTGGCTATAACGCGATTCCATCCTCAACGTTTTGAGCGCAACGCGGGGTTATGCAATGTTTACAGTTCACTTTCGACATCACATGTTCAATTGATTCGTGTCTTTTGTTTGTGAAGGGCTTTTTGTGAGGTCCTCTGTAAATTTCGTTTTTTTTTTCTTCAAATTGAGCTGTTACCCATAAATACTGTATGAAAAGAATAAGTAAAAAGAATGTTTCGCAGTGAGGACTAATAACAGTTTACACCAGCGCTCTCTGTTTACATCACTTGATCAGTTGAATTGCGCGGTTTCTGTCAACTACTCCGTGATTTTCGCTATTGTCTCCAATTTTGTTGTGTTAGTGATGAATACGGAAAGACAAGGAGGCGTCTTTAAGAGCTTGGGGGATTTCCTCCTTTTCCCATATACTCTCCAGGAGAGAGTGGAGACGGCTGGTAAGCAGAGGTCCTCCTGCTTTATACACCTCGGCTGGGATTCCATTAGGCCCTGAGGCTTTATTTTTCATTTGTTTGATGGCAGTAGCTACCTCATCCAGGGACAGTACAGTACAGTACAGTATAGTAGAGTACAGTACAGGACAGTACAGGATACAGAGGTCCCTCCATTAACGAGTACAATAGGTTCCGCAGGGTCAGTCGTTAACTGAAAATTTTCTTAACTGAATCTGTTATTTCAATGGGATATTGGGTAATTGGTTCCAACTCACAGAAAAAGTACATACAAAGTACTGTATACTGGTAATAGAATTAACAAAACATTAAATATAATCTAAATACAGTACTGTACTGTACAGTATACTGCACAATAATAAATAAAAAACAATAAAATACTGTATTTTAACTTACTTTGAGGTGTGTATGTAGAAGGTTCCTGGTTGATGATAATGATGAGAATTGGAAGTGGAGGTGGAGGAGAAGGGAGAAGAGAAGGAAGTGGGGGTGGAGGTGGAGGAGGAGGAAGTGAGGGTGGAGGAGGAGAAGAGAAGCATTTTAATGCTTTTTGGAAGATGAGTCACCTTCCCTAATAGTGTCAGGAACCTCTGGAGGGACAAATTATCTAACATGTCCTCCTCGAGAGGAACACTGATACTTTCACCAATATAATTTTAAGTTCACTACTTGTAATTATACAGTAAAAGCCCAAAAATCCGGATGCCAGGAATCCGGACCACCCGAGAATCCGGACTTTTTGAAAACTCAAACTTTTTAAATTTAGCGGGCTTTTGTGGGTTACGTGAATGAATGGAGTTGCTTTAAAAAATTAATTTACATAATTCTAATAATATAAGTAATTGTAAATTACAGGTAGCTAATTTTGTTAGTTTGTAATTAGCTTGAACTGAAATGTAAAATTTGAGGCACTATAAATCTTTTGTGTGTATGTGTGCATGAGTGAATGCCACAGCTGCACAGCGACAACAAACGACCACACGATCGCCACTTTAAAACAAGCAATCAAACTGTGACAACGTATGTAATTTTGAGTCCTACTCTTTCCATGTACAGAGTACAGGCCCATAATAATGGCCCCTAAAGTAGATAAACTTTAATGTGTGAAGAGAAAGAAGAACACATTGAAATTGAGTGACAAACTTGAAATAATTAAGAAACTAGAATGTAATGTGAGCAATACTGTTCTAATGGAAACATACAACATTGGAAAGTCTACAATTTATGATATAAAAGAGGCAAAGAATAAAATTCTAGAATTCACAGCTTCTTCTGAGCCTTACATTAAAATTGCTGAAAGAAAAAGTTTACATTGGCCCAAATTAGAAAATCTTGATAAAGTGTTGCACGAATGGTTTTTGTTAAAATGATCAGAAGGTATGGCAATTTCTGGGCCGATGCTTATTGCCAAAGCAAAGTCTTTTAAGTAGCAAATGAACATTGAATCAGAGCGAGCATTTAGTGATGGATGGCTTAGGAATTTCAAGACTCGTCATGGTATTAGACAGTTTGTTTACATTTTTGTCTAGTGTTGACTTTGTTTCTTTAAAACTGCTCGTTTTGATAAATGAAGCATGCTTTATTTGCTAATGAATAAACTATCAAAATGTACCTGTTCATCTCATCTTTATTCCTCCTTAAATTTTAATTTTAAAAGTACTGCCTGAGAATCCGGAAAATCCGAAAATCCGGACCTACCCAATCCCCAAGCAGTCCGGATTTTTGGACTTCTACTGTAGATTATTTTATTTAAATCAACACTGCACTGAATATTATCAATAGGTTAACTAAATTTCAGAATGACTAATAATTTTAATGTAAAAATGCAAAAATATTCAAGACACCAACTTTCTCGATGTTTCCTCCACTGGCCACAAAAGTAAACATTGAACCAATTATTGGTGGACGAGTCGATCAGCTGATGCGCGCACCAAAACGTGTTTCACGTAAGGCTGCCGTTAATAGAAGTTGTATTCGTTAATAGAACTGAAAGTCCTTACGGGAGTTAACTCGTTAACAGAAATCTCGTTAATTGAACCGCTCGTCACTGGAGGGACCACTGTATTGTGTACTGTCACTGAAAGTAAAGTAAGATGTCGTTGCTGCGGGTGTTAGAGAATAACACTACGTTACTTTTGAGGAGAAAATTAATATAATCTTCTTCAAGATACTGTGAGAGCTGCTCTTCCTCCTGCCAGTCATTGTCTCTCTCATCTCTAACTCCTCACATACCGTGAGAGCTGCTCTTCCTCCTGCCAGTCATTGTCTCTCTCATCTCTAACTCCTCACATACCGTGAGAGCTGCTCTTCCTCCTGCCAGTCATTGTCTCTCTCATCTCTAACTCCTCACATACCGTGAGAGCTGCTCTTCCTCCTGCCAGTCATTGTCTCTCTCATCTCTAACTCCTCACATACCGTGAGAGCTGCTCTTCCTCCTGCCAGTCATTGTCTCTCTCATCTCTAACTCCTCACATACCGTGAGAGCTGCTCTTCCTCCTGCCAGTCATTGTCCCTCTCATCTCTAACTCCTCACATACCGTGAGAGCTGCTCTTCCTCCTGCCAGTCATTGTCTCTCTCATCTCTAACTCCTCACATACCGTGAGAGCTGCTCTTCCTCCTGAGAGGATTCCTTCAGGAGCCAGGTGTTGTTGGCAGGTCATCAGATATAATTAGGTTGAGGGAGTCACACTGCTTCTCTGCCTTAGTTACCATAAGTTTGATGTTATTAGTTGCCTTTATGTTCCTGGGGGTTATTTTGGTGGAAATTTTCTGCACTGATTTTCTAAAAAAAAAAAACACCATTGAACATAACATTTTGAATCTACTTTTTGAGCATTTTTTTTTCTTCTGAAATGGATGTAAACAACGGCAAATTTTGAGGTTTATTGGACTTCACAGAAAGGAATAAAAAAAAAAAAAGATAAATATGTTGATAAGTTTCATTTTTTAGGGAAGCAATACACATTCTAATGTATTTAAAGTTTAATATCAAATGGAGACACTAATGATCAGCCAGTTAAAGCTTCCCGGCCTCACCAGCTGGCAGGACTGGCGTGGTTGACCGCATGCTTCACTCTTATTTACACAGGTCACGCATGATTCACGACCTTACTGCTCCACCAGTCACCCACCATTACTCTCAACAACTACTTCCTGAACTGTAGTTGTTGACGCTCAAGGTCAGATGTTCCTTGTTAACCCCTTGACTCCTGTAGGGTTAAACAGTTACCATCAAAGAGTTAAGTCATCATCATTAAAAGGGTTAAAACATCCTCAAAAGGATTAAACCATTATATTCAAGAGAGTTAAACCATCAAACCTCGAAGGGTTAAATCATTGTCTTCAAAGGGTTAGACCAGCTTTCTCAAAAAGGGTTAAACCATCACCCTCAAAAGGTTAAATCATTGCCCTCAAAAAGGTTTAAATCAGCATCATCAAAGGGTTAAATCACCATCAAAGGGTTAAACCATTGCCATTGAAGGGTTAAGTTATCATCATCCTAAGGGTTAAAATATCCTTAAAGTGGGTTAAACCATTGTGCTCAAAGGGGTTAAACCATTGTGCTCAAAGGGGTTAAACCATTGTGCTCAAAGGGGTTAAACCATTGTGCTCAAAGGAGTTAAACCATTGTGCTCAAAGGGGTTAAACCATTGTGTTGAAGTGAGAAAACGTAGTGTGTTAAGTAATAATAGTTGATATTTAGTCAGTTTGATCAAGGACGAGGCGACAAAGCCACACGAGATTAGTTTCCAGTAGAGTCCTTAAGCCAGCAGCATCTGGTGGTCGTAAGTCACTAACCAGATCCAACGTTACTTAACTTTACTGATCGCACAAGAAGCAGTGTTCCAATGTGGTAATACTGAAATACAGTATAGTCTGGTTTTATGCGGTCAATTAAACCCGTGGAGATCCTCGTATAAAGCGAAACGCTGAAAAAAATAACAGAACGTATGGGATTAATTGAAATAGAGACTGGGCCGACCGCCAGACTACCCTTGTTTGGCTATCTCTGACACAATACTGTACATTGTAGTAAAAATAACATCTTAATTTTATGATGGTATGCACAAACAATTAATATATAAGAGAAATATCAATAATATTAGGTTTTTTAAACACTTATGTTAGTAGAAGAGATGGCTGGGCCGAGGGCAGATTATTGGCTCTCACCTGTATCTCTATCCACCACCTCGTCAAACCCCTCGAAGTCCACATCCTCACTATCACTGACTTGGGCTGGCTGTGGTGGGTGGCGGGTGAAGAACTCGGTGATGTTTTGTTGACGGCTAGCATTGATGTGGTCGTGATACATCTGAACATAAGGCTCCTGGCATTTCAACAGATGGTTATTCGACACTTCATAGCGATGATTGACTGGGTCTTTGGCAAGGATGAGCTTCATTTTCTCAGCTGACTCGATGACCTCCTTCACATCAGCATGTGTTAGTTTCTGCTCTTGTTGTTCTGTACCACCTCGCTGGTCACTACCATCATCTTCCAACATCTCGTCGGCAGTTACCTCAGGTTGCCTGATTACCTCCAGGATGTCCTTGAGGTCTCGGAGAAGCCTGCAGCTCTAACACTTTGTGCAGCCTCTCTTGCATTCTCCAATGCCACAGCAACAGACTGAGTCTTGCCAGCCACCGCTTTCTGCCTCCCATCTGGGATACCCCAACACATGCCGCCACGCAGGTGCAATCGTACAGACAGCTGCTCCACCAAGAAATCAACAGCCTTCTTCATGTTCAACAGTTTTAATCCGCACTTTGTCCGCCAAATCTTGTTCAGATCCTCGCCCTCGCCTCGCTCTAGGTTCTGCAATTCATCCTTGGTGTTTGGTGAAGTCGTTCAGGAACCGAAACTTCTGAGAAGCAGCCTTGGCGTTAAATCAACTCCTGATCCATGGGCTGGATTAACGCATTAGTGTTAGCGGGAAGGAAGACCACTTTTACGTTGGGGTGACGATCCAGCAAAAGGGTCGAGTGTCCTGGTGCGTTGTCGAGGAGCAACAAAATGTTGAATGGCATATTATTTTCCTCGCAGAATTTCTTGATATCCACGCCTTCCCTGAGGTTAGCCAGTGGACATTTAACTTGCTCATGTCCATATTCTTGTAGGCATGCGGCTTGGCGGCTTTGTGGATCACAGACAACTTCAGCTTAGCAGTGCCTGAGGCAGTGGTGGTGAACAGTATGGTGATGCGCTCCTTCTGCATTTTGCTCCTCCGACACTTGCTCGCAGACTTGACTACGAAGGTTCTTGGATGGCAATTTCATCCAGTACAACCCTGATTCATCCATATTGAACACTTGGTCGTTGGTGTACTGTCCTTCCTCCATAATTTTCCGTAAAAGGGGAAAATTCATGCAGCCTGCCTGCTCCTTCTCCGACTTTCTAAATATTTGTGATCTGTCGTTTAAACCTTGCAGCCACCCAGGGGAAGCACTGAAGGGCTTGGGCTCTGCAACCCCCAATTTTCTTGCTACTGCTGTGAGTTCCCGGCAGTGCCTGAGTGTCGACCACCATGTTCCTTCTCGACTGACGAATAATGTAGCTTACCAACAAACTCTCGGTCTTCAGCAGCACCTTATTGTGGCAATATTTCACCAGCGAGAAACCTACAGACTTGGTAATGTTCATGTGTTCGTTGATCTTGCCGGCATCATTCTTGATTGTGCGGATTGTCGATTCATTCACTCCATATTGTCTAGCCAGATCCACCTGTCTCGCGCCTTTTTCTATCTCCTGGACGATCTTGTACTTTACACTTATAGCGGCGCACCTTCTGCTTCAGGCGGCTTGGCGGTAGTTTAGGGTTCCTGGGCACGAAAGAAGGACAGTGAGACTGACGCAGCGGTGGTGGAGGGCGTGGGTGGCAGGGGTTGCGTTAAATAGACCAATCACAGTGCGCAGCGGAGGGGATGCGTGGGTGATAAGGATACGTGGCCCAATCACAGTCCGAATGACATTGGCACAAGTCTGACGTCAGTGCCCAGCACCGCCCGCCACTTGCAGTGTATATGATGGCATTTACCGCGTAAATAATAATTTTCGCTTCTGAACAGGTGCTGTGTAAAATCATAAATGGCCGTCCGCGTATAAAATATCTGCGTAAACCCAGACTATACTGTACATAAAAGAATAAAAATGTCTAGTTATTTCACAGTACAGCGAGTTCTGCTATAACGCGTGTTTTGACAACGTTAATTTGCTCTAACGCGATTTATGAATAGAGGAACGATATTTGTATAACGCGAACGCTTGTTTGCTGTAACGCGATTTTTGCTTACTATTTCTCCAATTTTGTGGTATTAACTGTGAATATGGTAAAGAAGATTCCAAGAAGCGTTCTGGTGATCGCATTCCGTATGATTGTAAATATAACCCTTGAAGAGAAGCTCGATGTTATCTACCTCTAAATCACCCTTTCTCCATCAAGTTATATTCATATTTTTTCAAGGTTAAGTGTTACATTTTGTATGATTTCATTATTAGATATGAATGTAACAATTATTAACGCTATCCTTTGTGTTAGGCTAACTACTAAATTTTTTTCGATTTCGTAGTAGTAATCTGCACCTAACCCTATTTTCTCCATAAGCCCTGTTATTTCTATTATGCGAATTTCTATAACAGGATGTTTTACAAGAACACAACTATCACGTTATAACAGAACTGACTGTACTGTAATTGTTGGCCCACTGTATATATATTAACTTGATCTTTATTAATATGAAAATGTTTTCTTTCAAGGGCGAAGTCTCCTATAATATCAAGAGCAGTGGTGTTCCCTCATCATCCTGTCATGAATAAAACCTACCTCTTGAGGTTCAACCCCCTCAGTATCCTCACTGGTGGTCTCCCACTCTCCTCGAACCTGTGAGTACTGTGTTGCACCACCACCTGTTAATACTGTTCTCTTGTGCTGACATCCTGTAGTTCAGAAGATGTTGTGTGCTGACATCCTGTAGTTGAGTGGATGTTGTGTGCTGACATCCTGTAGTTGAGTGGATGTTGTGTCTCACCAACTGGGAGTCCATTGTGTCACCATTGGTCCTCCTCTACTGAACTAATGCATCTTGTCCAACAGTGTCTTTCTCCCATCTGTAGTCGTTGATGGATTGATGTTTTCCTGGATCATAGGAAAATAATTTACTATAATTGCCTGTTGATAATTTACACTGAGCTCTTGAAGATCTCCAATTATGACTCTTAATTCCTCCCCAACAGATGGACCAGTGGACCAAACTGTCGTAGCCTGCATAATGAGGACACTGGCCTACAACTCTCTGGTTGTCCACCAAATCATTACTTCTTCTCAGGATTTTCAGTACTTCAGACTCTCATTGACACTGCCATCATTAGTGTGAGTTCTCGACACCTTTGGCCTGTCCTTGGGTCATATAACACATAGCTTGGCCTTCACCTTTCATCTGAAGAATCCTACTTCAATACATTTCACATCACAATATATTAAACTCATCTGCTCCAGACCCATGTTGTACAGTTTTACAAGACTTAAACCTTACTACAGTGCACAACTATTAACTGTTATTCTCCCCCAAAATCGTCTTTATTTTATATATTATTGGGAACCTTTACCTGCTACACTCCAGGGGTCAGATAATGTCTTGAATGGGTTCATTATTTACATCAGGAAACTTGGGTGAAAACATTTGGTTGAGGAGAAAGAATTGGTTGGTGGTATAATTGGTTGGTGGTATAATTGGTTGGTGGTATAATTGGTTGGTGGTATAATAGCCTGTACTGTATTGTATTGTACCTCGCTACCTACACTCATGAACTTTATATGTCGAGTATGTATTGTTTTTAATGATGGGACACTTGAAGGTTTTAAGGGATGGGTAAAACAGTGTAGAGTATAAGTATGTTTATTAAGAAGTAGGTAAAATTAGAAAAAATCTCATGAACAGACAGTCTCTCACTGAATACTGTACAGTTGTCTAATGAGATACAGTATGCCATAGACCTAACGAGAGGTACTAAGTATTCAAGGCAAAATGCTGCATATGTAAACAGGCTGGGGGTTGAGGAGAGGGGTTGATTGGGCGTTGCCTCGTTTGCCATCTCACACAATCATTTCTCACGAGATGAGAGCCATTTATGTTGCTTCAAAGCACCAAACGACCGGCTGACATTTCTCCTGGGCACCAGTGTGTTGGAGGATTTTAAACTCACGCCTGTGCTTGTGTACCACTGTGAGACTCCACGAGCAATTGAGTGCATGTCAAAAAAGCACCTGCCTGTTGTTTGGCTGGCAAACAAGAAGACCTGGTTAGTGAGGCAATTGTTTCAGCAGTAATTTGCCTCCTATTTTTGCCCTGCTGTAAAGCATTACTGTGGGGAGACAATTCTAGTACCCAGAGCTGTGTTGGTGATGGATAATGCTCTTGACCACCTGCAGCACCTAGACAGTGTAAGGACAGTCCTGCCTGTGTAGATTGTGTTCTTGCCAAAAAACACAAGTTCCCTTATCCAGCCAATGGTCCAAGGAGTCATTGCCACTTTTAAGACGTATTACCTCCACCGCATTTTCAGGCAGCTGTTCCTCCCAACAGATGGTCTCGACCAACAGCCATGCACCGAATTTGGGAAAAAAATGATGGCTATTGAAAACATTAGCAGAACATAGGAAGAAGTGTATGAACAGTGTGTGCGGCCAAGTGTCTGTCATGACTAACGAGGCTTCAGTGTGGAGGACGACATCACCAGGGACGTTGTCCAGCTAGTTAGTCAAGCTGGATTTAATGAAGTGAATGTCGATGATGTGGAGGAGCTGCTGACATTACACAGGAGGAGCAGCTTAACAGATGAGGAGCTGGACCAACACCGAGCTAGTGAAGGGGCAGAAGGTGCACAAGATACTGAACCAGAAAAATTGCTCAGTAAAAATATTTTAACTGATACCTACCCGATGTTGTGTGATGCCCTTATTACTGTAAATGGCCCAAATATAGAGTAAAGTACAGGAGTGAAGAGGAACATTTTAAATGAATTTGTCCCCATTGAGGAGATGCTGTGTGAGAAGAAACTGAAAGCAAGACAGTTAACCCTTGATTCCTTCTCTGTAATGAAGGAAGATGGGCCACAACCTGGCCCATCTTCCCAGGGGTAGCTGCTGTCTCTTGTGTCTCACTGCTGCCAAGAGAGTGTGTGTGAGTGTGTGTGAGTGTATTTAATAATAATAATAATAATAATTAACAGTTGATTGAAAGAGCATGGCAGGCAGAAGGATCTTCAATTCGGTTAACGAACAAAACTTCGATTAACGAAATCCTCACAACAAACACGTTTTGTTGTGTGCATCAGCTGGTCGGCTAGTCCGCCAATATACTGTACAGTACAGTAATCTGTTCTATGTTTAAATTCATTTCCAGTGGAGTAAATATCAAGAAAGTTGGTCTCTTGAAAATTTCTGCATTTTTTATATTAAAATTATTAGTCATTCTGAAATTTAGTTAACATATTGATAATATACAGAGCAGAAATTATTATGAAACATGAAGAAGGCATAAGAACCAATGCACTCTGTAAAGAATATGGCATGTCATCATCGACTGCCTCTGCAGTCAGCTGTTTGATATATAAACAAAGCTGCCAGGAATACAACATACACACCTCAAAGTAAGTTAAAATACAGTACAGTATTCTACTGTTTTTTATTTATTATTGTACAGTATACTGTACAGTACAGTACTGTATTTAGTTTATATTTAATGTTTTGTTAATTCTATTACCAGTATACAGTACTTTGTATGTACTTTTTCTGTGAGTTGGAACCAATTACCCAATATCCCATTGAAATAATAGATTCAGTTAATAAAATTTTCGGCTAACGAACGACTCTGTGGAGCAATTGTGTTAACCAAGGGACCACTGTACAAGTAACATGCACTCCTCACCATTGCATTATGCGCGAGGTGGCCGCGGAAGTGATCTTTGCTGAAGTGTCTCACCCCTCCGCCAGCCAGCTGGGGCTGAGGCATTGTAAGTCTGGCAGCGAAGGGAGACTTAAGGATAAGCCAGCCATCAATCAACACGTTCACCAGTTGCCAGCGTAAATTTTGTGAAGGAAGATTTATGAGTTTTACCCCACGACATTGCCCCTATTTATTGCCACAATGCCCGTTGTTTCTTTGCCTTTTTTACCACAATGGGCAAGAGGAAAGATATAACAGAAAAGCAGATAGCATCAATTATTAGTCTGCATAACGGCAAGAAACCTGTAGAGGAAATATCAAGAATTGTTGGTGTGAGTGAACGATCTGTTCAGATGTGAATTATACAATTTTGAGATGACGGCGGGTTGACAACACCAGTGCACAGCGGACGGCCAGGGAAGGTTCGAAAAACTTCCCAACGCACGTTAACTGTTCTTGAGAGGCAACTTGATGCTAGTCCACGTCTGTCAGCAAGGGAATTGAAAGAAAAAACCCTGTACTTCTAGGTGATGTTTCTGAAAGGACCGTTCACCGCCCCATCCATGACGACCTGCAGTTTAGCAGCCACTGCACCACGCAAACCACTCTCACCCTTGTCCAGAGGCAGCATAGGGTCGCTTTTGCCAAGGCTAACCCTCGGTGGGATTGACCAAGTAGCAGAGCCTGCCGTGGAGTGACGAGGCAACGTTTTCTACTGGAAGTCATTACTCCTAATGTGTCACGGGCGACCGAGGAGTGATTAACTTGACCCCAAGTTCACTTTTAGCACAGTTAAGCATCGAGTCACTGATGGTGTGGGGTCGCTTCTTGTACTTTGGAACCGGTGATCTTGTTGTGCTACTGTGGGAGCTGTTTTGTGATTATTGGGGTCTTTTGAAGAATGGCGCTCATGTGTTTATGGTGCCCCAAGTCACACAGCAAAATATGTAATACAATGGCTTGTTGACAGTCAGGTAGGCTTCATAAGTGATTGGCTAACCATTTCCTGACCTTAACCCGACAGAAAATAAGTGGAGCATTATCAAGCTTAGTCTCTAAGGGTAATAAGTGGAGCATTATCAAGCTTCGTCTCTAAGGGTAATAAGTTGACATTATCAAGCTAGTCTCTAAGGGTAATAAGTGGAGCATTATCAAGCTTGGTCTCTAAGGGTAATAAGTGGAGCATTATCAAGCTTAGTCTCTAAGTAAATTATCAAGCCTCTCTAAGGGTAATAAATTGGGCTTTATCAAGCTTGGTCTCTAAGGGTAACAAGTGGAGCATTATCAAGCTTCGTCTCTAAGGGTAACAAGTGGAGCATTATCAAGCTTCGTCTCTAAGGGATAATAAGTGGAGCATTATCAAGCTTTGTCTCTAAGGGTAATAAATTGGAGCATTATCAAGCTTGGTCTCTAAGGGTAATAAGTGGAGCATTATCAAGCTTCGTCTCTAAGAATAAATTGGAGCATTATCAAGCTTGGTCTCTAAGGGTAATAAGTGGAGCATTATCAAGCTTCGTCTCTAAGGGTAATAAGTGGGGCATTATCAAGCTTCGTCTCTAAGGGTAATAAGTGGAGCATTATCAAGCTTAGTCTCTCTAAGGGTAACAAGTGGAGCATTATCAAGCCGTCTCTAAGGGTAATAAGTGGAGCATTATCAAGCCGTCTCTAAGGGTAATAAGTGGAGCATTATCAAGCTTCGTCTCTAAGGGTAACAAGTGGAGCATTATCAAACCGTCTCTAAGGGTAATAAATTGGGCATTATCAAGCTTCGTCTCTAAGGGTAATAAGTGGAGCATTATCAAGCTTCGTCTCTAAGGGTAATAAGTGGAGCATTATCAAGCTAGTCTCTAAGGGTAATAAGTGGAGCATTATCAAGCTTAGGTCTCTAAGGGTAACAAATTGAGCATTATCAAGCTTAGTCTCTAAAGGTAACAAGTGGAGCATTATCAAGCTTCATCTCTAAGGGTAATAAGTGGAGCATTATCAAGCTTGGTCTCTAAGGGTAATAAGTGGAGCATTATCAAGCTTAGTCTCTAAGGGTATAATGGCATTATCACGCTAAGGGTAATAAGTGGCATTATCGCTTCTCTAAGGTAATTAGTGGAGCATTATCAAGCTTCGTCTCTAAGGTAATAAGTGGAGCATTATCAAACTTGGTCTCTAAGGGTAATAAGTGGAGCATTATCAAGCTTCGTCTCTAAGGGTATAATTGGAGCATTATCAAACTTGGTCTCTAAGGGTAATAAGTGGAGCATTATCAAGCTTCGTCTCTAAGGGTAATAAGTGGAGCATTATCAAGCTTGGTCTCTAAGGGTAATAAGTGGAGCATTATCAAGCTTCGTCTCTAAGGGTAATAAGTGGAGCATTATCAAACTTGGTCTCTAAGGGTAATAAGTGGAGCATTATCAAGCTCGTCTCTAAGGGT